GGCTGGAGTGCAATGGCACAATCTCAGCTCACTGCAGCCTTCACCTCCTGGGTTCCAAAGATCCTCCTGCCTCAGCCTCCTGAGTATCTGGAATTACAGATACCTGCCACCACACCCAGCTAATTTTTTTTAATTTTTAGTAGAGACAGGGTTTCACTATGTTGGTCAGGCTGGTCTTGAACTCATGACCTCAAGTAAGCCGCCCACCTCTGCCTCCCAAAGTTCTGGGATTACAGGCATGAGCCACCATGCCTGGCCAATTTCTTGAAAAATGTTTTCTTCAATAATAAATTAACTTTAGCTTACTGTGACTTTTAAACGTTATAAATTTTTAAGTTTTAAACGTTAAAAGTTTTTAAGTTTTAAAAACGTGTTGACTGTTTCATAACACTTAGCCTAAAACACAAACACATTTTACAGATGTACAAAAATATTTTCTTTCTTCTTATCCTTATTCTACACACTTTTTCCATTTTCAAGTAATGAGCTATAGAAATGATCCCTGAAAGTATAGTCTTCTCTATTTTTGTTTTCTATTTAAAAATTAAAAAAAATTATTTTGTACTTTTAAAACTTTGTTGTTAAGAACACACACACACACACACACACACAAGCATAGGCCTGCATAGAGTCAGGACCATTAAGATGTCACTAGGTGACAGAAAATTTTCAGCTCCATGATTATATTATAGCACCACAGTTCTATCATTTACTAATATGTTGTTTTGAAGCACATGACTGATACACACACACACACATACATATATAAAGATTATATATATTAATGTTAAATTCAAAAGCATCTGTAGAACAATTATTAAAATGATAATATGTGAAAGCTTCATGAAGATAAAGACCTTACTGTCCTCTTTACTTCTTTTATGCCAAGAATCTGGAAGGGTCCCTGGCTCATAGTAGGTGTTTGGCTACTATTCATTGAATTTATGAGTATTCATTAATTATGATAAAATAAAGTAATACTAAGTATCATTAAAAGTGGGGCAATGAGCCTGTGATCTTCCTGATAAGATGCAATTTGAAGTACACAGCACTACCTATAAAATATTCTTGCCAAAATAGTAGAACATGAATCTAATCAAGGTTTTAGAACTAAGCTCCAGTTTACAGAAAATGAAGAAACATACAAGTTAAATGACACTTTGAAGAAGCAAACCAATAAATCCAGAATATGGGACATCTTATAGAATAATTGACCTGGTCTCTAGAACAAGCCAATGGCATGGGGATAAAAATGAGAAAGAGATTTAGGAGACGTAATAACTAAATTCAAACACACTTTAAAGAGTTTTTGGAAACAATTATGGAAATTTATTCATAAACTCTTGTTATATGATACCAAAACTTATTGCTAATTTTGTTAAATATGATAATGGCCTCATGGTCATATAAGAAAGTGTCCATTTTTTGTTTAGAGATACATAATGAAGCAAGAGGTAGGCTCCCATGGCATTGGGAAGCTCTGCCCATGTGCCTTTTCAGGGTAAAGCTTCCCTGTAACCCCTCCCAGCTGCTTTCCCAGGCTGGTATTGAGTGTCTGTGGCTTTTCCAGGCACACGGTGTAAGTTGTTGGTGGAGCTACCATTCTGGGGTCTGGAGGATGGTGGCCTTCTTCTCACAGCTCCGCCAACCAGTGCCCCAGGCCCCAGTGTGGGGCCTCCAACCTCACATTTCCTTTCCACACTGCCCCAGCAGAAGTTTTCCATGAAGACTCCGCCCCTGCAGCAAACTTCTGCCTGGACATCCAGGCATTTCCATCCATCCTCTGAAATCTAGACAGAGGTTCCCAAACCTCAATTCTTGACTTCTGTGCACCCACAGGTTCAATACCACATATAAGCCACCAAGGCTTGGGTCTTGTACCCTCTGAGGCAATGGCCTGAGCTGTATGTGCAGCCTGAGCTGTACGTTGGCCCCTTATAGTCACAGCTGGAGCTGATGTAGCTGGGTCACAGGACACTGTGTCTTGAGGCTGCATAGAGCAAGGAGGCCCTGGCCTGCCCACAAAACCATTTATCCCTCCTAGGCCTCCAGGTCTGTGATGGGAGGGGCTGCTGTGAAGGTCTCTGACATGCCCTGGAGAGACATTTTCCTCATTGTCTTGGTGATTAACATTTGGCTCCTCATGACTTATGCAAATTTCTGCAACCAGCTTGAATTTCTCTCCAGAAATGGATTTTCTTTTTCATCGTATAATCAGGCTGCAGTTCTCCAAACTCCTATGCTCTGCTTCCTCTTGAACCCTTTGCCACTTAGAAGTTTCTTCTGCCAGATACCTTAACTTATCTCTTTCAAGTTCAAAGTTCCACAGATCTCTGGAGCAGGGGCAAAATGCCACTAGTCTCTTTGCATTGCAAGAGTGGTCTTTACTCCAGTTTCCAACAAGTTCCTCATTTACATCTGAGACCACCTCAGCCTGGACTTTATTGTCCATATCACTATCAGCATTTTGGTCAAGCCATTCACAAGTCTCTGGGAAGTTTCAAACTTTCCCACATCTTCCCGCCTTCTTCTGAGCCCTCCAATTCTCTAGGAAGTTCCAAACATTTCCACATTTTCTGTCTTCTCTGAGCCGTCCAAACTGCTCCAACCTCTGCTGTTACCCAGTTCCAAGGTCACTTCCACATTTTTTTGTATCTTTAAAGCAGCACCCCAGTACCCAGTACCAATTTACTGTATTAGTCTGTTCTCATGCTGCTAATAAAGATATCCCGAGACTGGATAATTTATAAAGGAAAGAGATTTAATTGACTCACAGTTCAGCATGACTGGGGGAGGCCTCAAGAAACTTATAATCATGGCAGAAGGGGAAGCAAACACATCCTCCTTTACATGGTGGCAGCTAGGACAAGTGCTGAGCAAAAGGGGGAAAAGCCCCTTATAAAACCCTGATCTCATGAGAACTCCCTCCCTATTGTGAGAACAGCATGAAGGTAACCGCCCTAATTACATTACCTCCCACCAGGTCCCTTCCATGACACATGGGGATTATGGAAACTCTACATAATGAAGCCTGTAGAAGTAAAACGATATGTTGTCTATGATTTGATTTAAAGTGCTTTAGCAAAGAAAAACAAAAGAAAAAGGAACAGATGATACAACAGGAAAATCTTGATAATTTTGAGGTGTGAATGAGGTATATATGGGGGTTCATTTTCTATTCTCTTGATTTTTGTGCGTGTTTGAAATTTTTCATAAAAAATGGGAAGAGAATAGAGCATATTTTCAGCTTTTTCTAAACTGCTGAGTCTTAAGTATGTTTGCACGTTATAATGTGCACATTTACATGAAGAAACACTTCCTGGGGGACAAGGTGAAATGGTGGAAAGTGCCTTGATTTAGGAGTCAGACAAATGTGGTTTGAATCCTAGCTGCATTCCAAGGACTTGAGGAGGAAGGGAGCATACCTGTAGCAAAGGCAGCAAGGGCAGAGGAATGACTGGTGAATATATATATATACACACACACACACACATACACACACACATATATATAGGATATATATAAGATTCCTGGGAGATGACTAAGTCTTGAGGGGTGAAAGACATTGTGATTTGTTTTGAGGCATGTTGAGTTTGAGTTAAGGTGTCTTTGAGACATACAAGAAGTGATGTCAACAATGCAGTTCATGTCAAAATCTGGAGCACAGATGAGAGAACAGTGTAAGTCTACTAGTTTGATAGGAAAAAGGCAGTTTACCTTGAGATGTTTCCATGTAATTGTGTTGCTGCTACAGCACATGGAAGTATTTCACAGCTATAATACCTATGAGAAGCAAGGACTCGTATAAAGCAATATAAAGTTGTGTTTTATTTGTTTCACAAATGAGCAAGTTCATTTTTATAGGAAAGCAGTTACCTTTCTCCTGCTTTTTATCTTTTACTGCAGATGTGGGGAATTCTGGCAGTAGCCGAGACCCTTTTGAGCCAAGTCTGACTTTACTTTTTCCTATTATTACAGTTTATTTTTTGTGATGTGAATCTGCCAGTTACTAGTTAGATAGACTTTCTGTTGAAGGAGTTTGCTCTGAATTGCACTCTAGCAACACCTAACCAGGAATGCCCCTTCTATCCCATTAGAGAAAGCCACTAAGAGAACTGTTAAAATTATCTAAGAGTCAGATCCCAAGTTGTTTTAGGTATAAAGCAGAATGAGGTAAGCTGGAGTGGGAGGTAGGGAGTGATGGTGGTAATGAGGATGTAACTTCTCATCCCATTTTTAAGAAAGTCTGTAAAATGTTGCTTATGAAAATGACTTGGTCTCATAAAGGGGTATAACTGCTTCAGAGTCTTTCAGAAACTCAGACGTATCCTGTGGTTAATTGTCCATTTTTGGCTTAGTTTTGCTTAGCCTCCCAGAGAACCATTTTAATAACACTGTATTTTTAACTGGGAAAAAATAATTTGATGGTGCATTAATTGCTCCTTTGATGACATTTTGAGAGTTCACCACTGTTCTCTTGCTACACCTACCTATTCACTTCTAGCTTTTCCTAATATTTTCTTAGTTTTGCAGAGCAGTATATGATAGTCAATGTAAATTATCAAAACACTACCTCTGATTTATCTGTTTCTCCTGAAGCCTTTGGCATGATTTCACGTGTACAATTTCACCAGAACTCGTATGACATTTCTGTCAAAGACTTAGGGAATGACAGGTGCTACTATTCCCATTTTTTGATAGGAACAAGAGTGACAGAGTTAGTAAATGTCAGAACCAGGGCTAGAACGTGTTTTTATTTCTATCCTAACATGGGAAAAAGAAAGAAAGACAGACAAAGGAGAAAGAAGGGTGTAGAAGAAAGACCAGCAAATAAAAAGTAAAATGAGTTTGTCTACTTATTCCTTGAAGAAACTAAAAAAAATCATCTTCAATGTTCCCATTCCTGAGACTACATGATGAATGATGAATGGTTATACGCCAGGAGCCAAAGCTCTAGTGGGAGAGGCAATCCCATAAATATTCTAGTATACATGATTTCTTTCCATGCTGACATAATTGTGCACATGAACGTCCTGGCTGGTGCTCTCAAGAGCATCAACAATGTCAAAAAGAGAGACAAACACCAAGTTCTTATCAGACTGTGCTCCAGAGTCATTATCCAGTTTCTAACTGCGATGAAACATGATTACACTGGCAAATTTGAAATCACTGATGATCACAGAACTGGGAAAATTGTTGTGAACCTCACAGGCAGGTTAAACAAGTGTGGAGTGATCAGCCCCAGGTTTGATGTGCAACCCAAAGACCAAGAAAGATGGCAGAATAATATGTTCATGTCTCATCAGTTTGGTTTTATTGCGCTGACCACCTCAGCTGGCATCACGGACCATGAAGAAGCAAGACAAAAACACACAGGCGGGAAAATTTTGGGTTTCTTTTTCTAGGGATGTAATACATGCTTATAAGACAAATGCCTCAATGGACCAAAAAAAAAAAAAAAAAAAAAAAATTGCAGTATAATGGAAGAATTAAAGAAGTGCCATGGGAGAAATAGTGAGCAAAATGAATTATAACATCAAAAACATTTTTTTTTGAGATGGAGTTTTTGCTCTTGTTGCGCAGGTTGGAGTGCAATGGCATGATCTCAGTTCACTGCAACCTCCATCTCCTGGGTTCAAGCGATTCTCCTGCCTCAGCCTCCAGAGTAGCTGGGATTAGAGGCATGTGCCACCATGCCAGGCTAATTTTGTATTTTTAGTAGAGACAGGGTTTCACCATGTTGGCCAGGCTGGTCTCAAACTCTGACCTTAGGTGATCCGCCCACCTCAGCCTCCCGAAGTGCTGGGATTACAGGTGTGAGCCACCACGCCTGGCGTACATCAAATATTTTTTGCTGATGGTCTCACTTTCTCAATTCCAAATATCTAAGATTTTCTCATTAGTTTGTCTTGTAGTGGATACCATGTATTATCTGATGTTATTATTTTGTATTCAGGCACCATTGTCTCTTAATACTATATTGCCCACATTTTGGTATAAGATTTCTTGATTTTTCTCAGAGTAATATTTGAGATCCTCTCTTAGCCACATTTGGCCAGTGACATCATTTTAAACTTCCAAGTTTTCAATTTCATGCTCTTAGAATTATGGCTTGTAGAGCAGGATAGGACTACAGGAGATTTTCCAGCCCTACCCCTTGGACTCCACTTGTATCACAGTGGCAAGCCTTGATGAAGCACTATGTTGTACTGACGAACTTCCAAAACTGTCAGCTTTCCACATTACAACCTAGCCAATCAAGGAATAACTAATGGGCCAGATACTCTTATACCTGCCTAGTTAAAAAATATATATTTCAGAAGACCTTGTTACAGGGTTAAAAAGCAGATTGGTTGGATTTGAGTAAGGAAATGGCATAGTAACTAATGTGACTTATTTAATAAAATATAATTAATCCTCTCCACCTAATGCATCATGCTACTTAGTGTGTTTGCACGCGCGCACATGTGCACGCACATGGGTGAATTGTCAAATAACAAATCACTGCTACTTCCTTACATTTGAGGTGTGATGGCTCACCTATTCACATGGCCAATTTGAAGAGAGAAGTTCACCTAAATACACAGCTATTCAAAAAGCATTTATTGAGAAGTTACAACATTTAAGGCACCTTTTGATACATGGGGCGTACATATAGAGGTACCCAGCTCCCAGTGTGGTGGCACTGTTTAAATGAATTAATAAGATAATTTGTTAATGTGAAGGCTGTTTTATAAATTATGAAGTGCAAGCAAAAATTCTACTATTGTTACAAAAATAAAATCCATAAACCTTTTCCTATTGCTTGTTTGGCATAGAAGTGAAATCTTTTCAGGTTTGCACCTTTACAAGCCCTGGGCATGTGGGAATGTACTAAATCTGGCTTGGACTTGGTTCAGTCTTAGATCTCAGAAACTGTGGGGACTATGATTGTGACAGTACCATTCATCTTGTCTTCTGTAAACTCACAGTTACATCTTTTCTCCAATTTGGGTATAAGAGGAAGACGAGACTAGTTTTGCCTTTTGAATCACACAGCCATCAAGTGACTTGGATTTTCATCCTCACTGATTTCCTTTGCAAAATGCCCTTGAATGTCAGGTGTGGGCAGAGAAACCATGGTAGGACTCTCTCCTCTTGCAAAGCAAAGTGGAGTGTTACTGTCACAACAAATGCATCTTTTCTTTTCTTCTAGTTTTCATAAATGCCCAGGTGCATAAGCAAATGTCCTAGGACTCTCTGTAGCTTGCTGAAGGTTGTAATAATTTTTGTATTTTTTACTTTAAGGTCTCTTTTATTTTTCTCCTAAATCCTGTTATGTGGCCAACCCAGGAAAGATGCTTATTTTCAAAATATAGGTACAGAAAAAGTAAGGCTCCATATGTGGAAATCAGCGACAACTCAACCTGTTTGGACTTTGTTTGCAACATAGGAATTGTACACCTTGGTTATGGTCTGTTAGTTGTTCTGAAATCTGTGCTACAAATTACTAATGACCTTAGTTGTGCTTGGCATTGATAACAGCAGAGAGTAATGCACATTTTATTCTACAGAGTAGTTCCAGCTGGTGCTGAATGAGGCAACCTGACTTCTAAACAGTGTTTATTGCAAGGGTCATCTTACATCATTGCTCTGTTATCCAAGGTTAATTGTCAATTTGCTTTTAAATGTTATGCAAAAGTATTGGCTTAGCTGTAGAAAACTTCATCTTGGGAAATTTGACCCTCTTAGCGATGAATAATTAATGTCCTATGAAATCACATTCCTGAAAGAGAATTCTAAAGTTTACCATGACCATCCTTTTTTCTCCTAAGTGTATTCTATTTTTAAGAATTCCTGGAAACAACTCTATGTTAAAAAAGAAACAACGATTTAAAAGCAAACATGCTGAGAAAGTATTTACAGAAAACATGATAGACAAAAGATGGCTACTTTTGTTATATGAAAGCTTTACATAAAGTTATAAGAAAACCATTAAGAATACATTAGATAAATGGAGTAAGGATATGCGCAAAATTTCACAAAAGAGAGAGATCAACTAATAAAACTGGAAAACAGGTCAGTCTCACAAGTGTCATAGGCATATCATAACTAACAGGTACTTTTTTGGTTTTTTTTGCTGATCAAGTTAGCACAGACTTGAGTTATAATACTGTTGAGAATATGGTGAAATAGGCACTTGTTGTATGTCACTTGTGGATGCATAAATTCTTAAGATATTTTTGCAAGGTAAGTTGCAAAACTGTATCAAGATTTTTAAAAATACTCTTAGCCTTTTTCCAGTAATTCCCCTCTAGGAATCTGTTATAATGGCATATTGTTACTTAAAACATATAATGCATAAATATGTTCAAATATAATAGCAAAAAATTGGATCAAATATAATAGCAAAAAATTGGAACCACAATTAACATGTTCAACAGTGAGAAATGAGTAAAGAAACTATGGTCTATTTAGTATATCATTGAGTAATATTATAATGTTAAATTGCAAAAGCATTCACAAAATGACAAATATCTATCTGAGGTACCTAGAGGAATGAAATGTACAGAGAAAGAAAAGAGAATGATAGTTGCCAGGCACTGGGGGAGCCGGTCATGGTCACTTAATATTTAATTGGTAGAGAGTTTGAGTTTGGGATGATGAAAAGTTGCTGGAGATGGTTAGTGGCGATGGTTGCACAACAAAGTGAATGTACTTAATGTCACTGAATCGTACACTTTAAAAAAGCTAGAATGGTATATATTTTATCACAATAAAAAAATCGCAAGATCTTTATAATAGCATGAGTAATGTTTGTTGTATATTGTATGATTTTAGTTTTAAAAAGCAGCAACATAAATGCCCTGTGAAAGACACTGTCAAGAGAATGAGAAGATAAGTCACAGACTGGGGAAAAAACGTGCAAAAAACCTTTTGGTTAAGACTGTTATCTAAAATGTACAAAGAACTTTTACAACTCAAGAATAAGAAACAACCTGATTCGAAAATAGGCAAAAGATGGCCGGGTGTGGTGGCTCATACCTGTAATTCAAACACTTTGGGAGGCTGAGGTGGGTGGATCATCTGAGGTCAGGAGTTGGAGACCAGCCTGACCAACATGGTGAAACCCCGTCTCTACTAAAGATACAAAAATTAGCTGGGCGTGGTGGTGGGTGCCTGTAATCCCAGCCATTCAAGAGGCTGAGTCAGAAGAATCGCTTGGACCCTGGAGGCAGAGTTTGCAGTGAGTCGAGCTCACACCACTGCATTCCAGTGTGGGCCACAGAGTGAGACCCAGCTCAAAAAAAAAAAAAAAAAAAAGGCAAAAGACCTGAGTAGACACCTCACCAAAGAATATGTGGAGCATCTACCAGCATCTATCTATTATATATATAAAATATATATGTGTGTATACATGTATATATACATACATATGTGTGTATGTATATACCCCCATACTGATGGGAAAATGCAATAGCTTGTAGCAAAAGAAAAAGAAGTAGAAGAAGTAAAAAAAAAAAATACGAATAGTGACTGCATTAGGAAGTGGGACTATAAATGAGCCCTCCCCTTTCCAACTTTATTATTTTTTTCTAAATGTTCTCCAAAAAGCAAGTATTAAATTTACAGTGATTATATAAACTTTCAATTTCAAAAGTAAATGAATAGGACTTCCAGTTGAATATGGTTCCAGATTGAACACATACATTTTACATCTGCTCCCTCCTGGAATTCCAATAAAACAATAATAAAGGCTTTAATAAAAGACACGAGCTCTTCCAGACAAGAGGTACCAAAAGCAACAAAATCAGATGGTCTAACTTGGGATAGAGACTGACTTGGGCAAACTATCAAAAGCAGGATTCTGACCTAGCAGTGAGAAAACGCAAAAAAGACCTTGAGTTGTACCTGAAAGTTCCCCAAAGACTCCAGGATGACAGGAGATCATTTTCTCTGAGAGAACAGGTAAAGACGAGGCCTTAAAACAGGAGGACTGGTTGCAAATTTGTTTAAGGATCAGATCCTAATTCTAACCGTAAGGAAACAATCAGACAAATACAATTTTAGAGACATTTTGCACATATTCACCCATTTAAATTGTATAATTGGTTTTTGGTATGTTCTTCATATGTGCAACCATCACCAGGCAAATTTAGAACATATTCATCACAGACGAAAGTTCTTAAAAAATGTCATTGTCATGTGAATAAAAAAGGTGGAGAAACAGTTTCGATTAAAAGAAATGAGATTAATAAGGCCTAATAACTAAATGCAATACATGATCTTTGACTGGGTCCCGGATTAAAAAAGAAACAGCTAGAAGGGCACTATTTGGGCAACTGGGGAAATGTGATTATGGTCTGTACATTAAATAATACTGATTTCTTGGGTTTGATATTTATATTATGGTTTTGTGTGAAGA